AATCAAGTTTCCCCCTCCATCCTATTTGACCACCCAGCTCCAGCCACGCCTGCTGTGGTCACACAGGTGGCATCCTCAGCTCACCCGGGTCATAGTGGGAAGAACTGGGGGTCGGGTCTGGGCCGTGGGCTGCGGTGGCCGGCTGTGGACATGAGGTCAGTGCGTAGCTTGGCGCCTCCCCCACTTTCAGCAACTAGATCACGTTTACCCACACTTTTAACATAGTGAATCTGCCACACTTGTCTTGCTGAATCATCTTTTTCACACGTTTCTAGTTAAACAGTAAGTTACATAGAAAGTGAGTCCACGGTCATAGCAAAAATCATGGCATGCTGTTTCTGAGCTGCTGACTCACTGGTCTCCCTCCTTTCTGCCCTGTTGGGTCAGTTTTGTTCTTTGCAGCATAACTTTAATACATTTGGCGTCCATGTTTCTCTTCCACTAGAACTTACCCTTCATCAGATGCGCTAGGTTGATTCAGGGCTCTCCTTTGGGTTGGGTTACACTGTTTTCGCTGAGGAAAGATGAGACAGATGTCTGCCTTTCCCCCACATCCTCTCAATTGAAGAGACAGACAGTAAATAGTTCTTAACTTTGCCTCAGCTTCTTCCCTCTTCTACCAAAATAGATGAAATTTGACATCTCAGTAGTGTTTCTAATAGTGAATCATTTTCTGACATTCAAAGAAAGACTTTCTATGAATCTTGCTTAGATAATAGCATATACTTGAGGTACAACCCTGGTTATTTAAAGAGAATTTACCATGTAGAAGTGTAACAGATTACCTCCAAACTTAGTGACTTAAAGCAACAACCATTTTTTTCTTTGTTTTATGTTTCATAATTCTGTGGGCCAGGAATTCAGACAGGGAGCTAACAGAGAGAGCGACTTGTGTCTGCTGCAGACTGTCGGGACACACAGCTGGTGGCTGCCGGCTTCCCCTGCCTCGCCTCTCTCTGGGTGTCTCTGGCGCGGTCTCTCTGGGGAACCGCTGTTCCTGGAGGCCTGGGGTCCATGAGCAAGGGTTCCCAGAGGCCCAGCGGCAGGGCTTCTATGACCTATCTCAGCCACTCCAGAACGGCTCTCCATCCCATCCTCCTGGTTAGACCTGTCTCTGAAGTTGGTCCAGATCCACTGGCTGGGGACATACCCACATTTCAGCAGGAGGAGTAGGCACAGGATTTTGGGCTGTCTTTACCACAAAAACTTCATAGGGTGTAACTGTTGTCATATACTGAGGTTAAATTCTCAGTCTGATTTGATGAGTGTAAAAATTTGACATTAGTAAGTTTAATATTAAAAAAAATTTCTGCTTTTTTTTTTTGCCTTTTTTCTTAGAATGTCTTGGTATTTTAAGATGTGCAGTCTGCATCAAAGGACAAGAGAAAATGTATAGAACATTGGTAGATGTGCTGGAATAAAGTCTATCAGATTAGACCTTTGTTAAAGTAACCTGAGACCCGCGTGATCTTTGCTCTAATGATGTGTTCTCAAAGAAGGGTCTTCTTGGAACTGCCCAGTCAACTTGAGTGTTTCACAGACTTTCCTCACATTTAAAAGATCTCCAGTAATTGTAATGGATCTGCATGTGTAAAAGTGAAGTCTGAGCAGTCTTTTAGAACAAGCGAGATACGTTAGATGACAGGAGGATTTGAGGTAACCAGGAGCACGCCACCGGTCAGAAGAAGCTTTCTGAACTCAGATGAGCTACCTTAGTAGGCAGGAGAGGGCACACACATAGCAGGGCTGTTTTTGTTCCTGTGCATGTTTTTGCCAGCTTAGGGTTTTAAAATCTGTCATCTTCTTCCCAGCAGAGAAGAGTTCTCCCATTTTCCACTTGGTCCTGACCCTTTCCCTAAAATCCTGATTCTTGCATGTCACGTGTCATCTGCCTTGCATTTGCATGGGAATCTGGACTTAGTAGAGAGCGCGGCACTGTCCCTTCCTGCAGGACCCCGTCAGACCGGTGGCTCTTGGGGTCTGTGGTGCCTTTGCCTGCACACAGTAAGGCGCACGAGTGCTGGGCGGGGAGGCGGGGGACCAACAGCGGCTCCTGCTGGGGTCTCTGTAGCCCTGAGACATGAGATTCAATTTTGGGTAAATTAGTAACATTTAAAATTTTCTAGTTTGTATTTATTTATTTATTTATTTTTAATTTTCTAGTTTTTAAAACCTACTCTAAATGACTGTATAGCAGTGATACCTGCTGGGACTCAGTGTTGGGAGGAGGGGCAGAAAGCTTAATTAGTAGGTATTTGATGAGTCAATGAACTTTGGTCCTTGGATAGAAATTCAGATTCCATTTTCCTGCCTACATTATTAAACTAGGAGGCTTTTGACTTAGTGGTCAAATTGTGTTCTTCAAAGTAACTTCAGACTTTAAAAATGATTCCATACAGCTGTTTCAGTACAAAATTTATGGAGGCAGTGTGATAGAACTATTCTTAATTTTTTTTATTCTGGTGAAATATATGAGTCCTAAGTCGCTTCAGTCATGTCCAACTCTCTGCAGCCCTTTGGACTGTAGTCTGCCAGGCTTCTCTGTCCATGGATTCTCTAGGCAAGGATACTGGAGTGCTTGCCATGACCTCCCCAGGGGATCTTCCCTACCCAGGGTTCAAACCCAAGTGTCCTGTGTCAGTAGGCAGGTTCTTTACCACTGTATATAACAGAGTGTGCTGTTTTCACGTTTCCTGAATGTACAGTTCAGTGGCATCCACATTGCTGTGCGACCACCGTCTGTCTCTGGAGCATTTCTTTTACCCCAAACTGAGCCCGTACCCCATCCCCAGCTCTCTGAAGCCCCTGGTTAGAACCTCCGTCCTGTCTCCGCGGATTTGACTACTCTCTGCTGCTGCTGCTAAGTCACTTCAGTCGTGTCCGACTCTATGTGACCCCATAGACGGCAGCCCACCAGGCTCTGCCGTCCCTGGGATTCTCCAGGCAAGAACACTGGAGTGGGCTGCCATTTGACTACTCTAGGGTACCGCATATAAGTGGAATCATACAGAGTCTGCCCTTTTGTGCCTGGCTTATTTCACTTAGCATAATGCCCTCAAGATTCACCCATGTGTCAATTTTATGCCTTCCTAAGGCTGAGTAATACTCAGTTGTACGTATATCTTGTTTTGTTTGTTTGTTCATCCGTGGACTTTTGAATAGTCCACCTTTCGGCTGCGGTGAACACTGGAGTGCTAATTACCTGCTTGGGTGTCTGCTTTCAGTTCTTCTGGGTATATGGCTAGGAGTGGAATTGCTGGATCATACGATGATTTTGTTTTTCTTTTAGTAACTTTTGCTGTAGCTGCGCTGTATACATTCCTACCAGCAAGGCACAAGGGCTCCAATTTCTCCCCGTATTCACCATTACTTGTTGTCTGTTTTTTGGATAGTAGCCTTTCTGATGGGTATGAAGTGGTATTGTAGTTGTGCTTTGCACTTCCCTAATGAAAACTGTTTTTTCTTATATAGTTTTGCATTCATTTATTTTTAATGATGTTATTTTTTATTTATGAACCACATATGAACAATATGGAATATACTCTTAAGAAATGGTTGACCCGTTCAGCTAAACTTCCAATTAACACAAGTATTTAAGAAGATTACAGTGCTTTATTTATATTGATTTTTGAAGTATTTATAGCAGTTTTAGGCCAATGTGGTTGTATTACTTTGTAGTAAATGATTATATGATTTGGGTTAGGAAATACATGATTCTGTTATTGTTAGAAGAATTCTTATGTCTGCGTTTTTTTTTATTCAATAATATTGAAAGTTGGTGAGTGCCATTCAAAAGTTGGATGCTGACTTAAGAGGTCGATGTTCTCCTTCTTCTTAAGTGTTTCTCTGTAGACAGTGTTTATTTCCTTGGGTTTTTAGAAGACAACACACCATGAGGCTGAAGCTTAGCTCCCAAGGCGATCTGTTATGATGCCCTATTCTAGGAATAGAGCCGTCAACTGACAGCGCACACTCACTGACAGGCCGGGATGCGTGGTCAGACTACAGAGCAGAATATTTTAAATTAGAATTCTTGGAAAGTTTAAGGTCTTCTGTTTACTTCATTTTTATATAATTAAAAAATTAATGTATATTATTTATTGCAGATTTGTAATATTATAATTAGCTCCTATAACTGAGATAATTTTGGTCTGAATAGTGTTTTGAGATTCTGAACATGAAGGGGAGGATAAGGCATGAATTCTGATATAGATCCATTATAAAGCTGTTTTAATTTTTGGCTTACCCAGTGGGTTATAGTAACAATATATTGGGTTGGTCAAAAGGTTCCTTCATATTTTTCCATAACATCTTAACAGAAAAACTGAACTTTCTGGCCAACCCAATCCATGATGGTGTTTGACTTCTGAGAGCCATGTGTAAGATTGGCAAGCTCTTCATGACTCCAAGTAGCATTTCTAGGGATAAAACTTACTCTAGTTCACTAATGGTAGAGCACCTAGTTGATATTAGATGGTTTAGTATTAACAGTAAACTCATTGTCCACACACATTCTTGTTTAGATTGTGGACTGATGATAGCCTTAAAAATTTTTTTCCCTAACAAAGCATCTTGTTGGACTATCACTAAGACCAAGTAGTGAATAAAAAATTGCGTAAAAACATAAAAAATACAGATGCCTTTACATCTGGGGACTAGCATAAAGGGTACCATCCTTTTACATGTGATCATGGGTCACTTGGGTACAGAATTGACGTCACTGGCGATTCTGAATAGCAGTATGCTCTGTGTGCCCCCCAAACTGGGACAACTAAATAATTTATAGAATGTTGCCGTTAAATGAAGATAAATATTACCATCTCTTTTCCAAGTCTGGCACTGTGCCTTTCTGCTCTTAATGTGTAATCACCTATTTTATCTCTAAAATTGCTGTTGAAATTACTGCTGTCAGAAGTATCGCTTTAATCTAGCTTGTTTTTGTGGCATTCACTGTTCTTAGTCTCAGATGCAGACTAACCTGTGACCCCCCTCTCCTCTAGAATGACTCGTCTCATGGTGATTACATGCAAAGTCCCGAGGCTGCTTTAATAGAACAAGCCCCAATACCTCATGATGGACTTACTGCGGCACCTCACAGAACCCAGCGGGAAGGTATGTTGTATTTTTCCTAAACTTTAAACCATCTGTACACAAGAAGATTGCAGAGTGCTTACTGACACTGGCTAACTCGCCCCCACGCCCCTCTGTGGAGTACAGAGCTCTGTGGGTCCTGGGTGTGGCTCAGATGCTGGTCCTCTGGCTTCCTTGAGTCTGCGTCTGGGCTCCGACTCTGCAGCCCCTGGCCCGCCCCAGTCCACGTTTATCGGTTCTGCCTTAGGGGCCCTTGTCTTAAATCTGGCTACATACCTCTGGGGGGCAAAGACTTTAACCTCCCCCCAAAGTATTAGTACAGTGCTTTAGCTGTAGAATGTGCTCGAAGTCTACCGGAAAAGTTAATTTTACTGAAGTGCGCTGTCAGAAGAGATTGCTCACAGGCACATGCTTCCTGTGGCGATGCAGTTTTCAGGGTGTCTGGGTGGCAGAGTGAAAAGACGTGGCCCCCGACAAGAAGCGGGTGCCCGCGTTCTCTTCCCTTACGTCTGGGGCCCGTAACCTGCCGAGGGACAGTTTGGGAAGGGTGAGAGATGTGGTGGGCATCACACCCAGTTATAACAGCTTTGAATTGATGTCATTCTGTTTGCTTTTAGTTTGGATAATCTTTTCATGTAATGCATTTTTCTTCACAGAGTAAAAACAGGTGTGAATGTTTAAGGTTTAGAAAACATTTACATGATTGCTGCTCCTGTTCAGGATTACTGAATCTTGAACCGTAATCTGGAATCCTGCCTGGTCTGCTTCAGCTGGGCTCAGTGAGCCTGCAGTCACCTGAAGCAGAGTTTGGGTTTACAGTGAAGATCCGTTGTGGTGTTTTTTTTTTTTTTAAGATAAAATAAAAAGACTACATCAAAATGATAATAATTAACTGTAAGGTGGTACTTATAGATGGTTTTTCCTATATCTTTAACTTTTAAACGAATGTCCACAGTCCATGCTCTGCAGTTCTTTAATTTGAGAGTTGCAGGGCCTCCCATTATCAGCCATTCCTCACCCCGTGCCCTCTGCTTTCCTCATCTTGATTCTGATAGATCACAGCAGGTAGAAGTGAAATCGAGGCAAAGCCATAGCCACATTCCTGTGCCCCCACTGCCCTGTGGTCCCCTCTCTCAGCCTGTTTTCAGAAGTGGAGCTGCTTCATATTTCGGAACATTGATTAGTTCAGATCATTTTTATTTAATAGCACCATCCTTCACATAATTGAATAGAGCAGCTTTTGGAAACAGCAGCCCCCCCCCCCCCCCCCCCCCCNCCCCCACCTCCGGCCTTGGACACGGGCAGCAGTTCTGAGCCACTGCAGGCTTCTCACCCCACCCGGCTCCTGTGGTGGGCTCATCTCCATCCTCAACATTCTCATCCACCACGGGGAGCTGGCCCGGAAGCAGGCCACCAAACACTAGACAATTGGAAAGTTAACACAAAATTCTGGTAATGGTGTCTCCTGGTGTCTGTTTACCAGCATATTTCTGTAATCTTATGATTCCTGCTTTCTCATTGCCCACCTTCTGTGATCTATAGCAATCTTACTTCTTCCTGCACACTTTTGTTCCTTTGTATATTCTACTTCACCTGTTTTAACTTCTTCCTTTAAGGCAAAGTGAGTCCTTCCCTTTTCTTTTCCATCTCCTGTCCCCTGTGACTCCAGCAGTGACCTTGTGTTGAGTCACTTTCCTAACTTCTTCCCTGTGACCTTTATCATCTTCATTACGATTTCTTCTACTTATACCCTGAGCAACAAAACTTTTTTTTTCTTAAGTCCTTATATTATGCTTAGTAGACTGGCTTTTTTCACTTTGTAAAGAGATGTACTTGCTAAGGTGGTAACTTCTACTGAAGGATGTATGAAATGAGGACTTTTGGGATTTGCACTTTGGCTTACTTCATGAGTGAGCTGATCATCTTATCTAGTTCAATTCTCTGTAATTGTTCTTAAGCCACCAGTGTAATTTATGACCACTATTGTATAATAAATTGTGAGATGTTTTACTACAGTGAACCATCATAATTCATTACAATGTTAAGTTTGTGTTACCATTGTATGATATTAAGGGTCACACTTGAGGGAAACAGTTTTTAAATTCTGAATTGGAAAGAAGTCTTTATCACTTTCCTATTACTTTTGAAGAGTTCCCCACCCCATTTAAAAATTTTTTCTAGTTTATACCTAATCTGCCTAAATAACTGAAAGACTTCTAAAGTGCTGTATTTGTGGTAATTTGAATTAACAGTTTTGAAAATTCCTCTAAACAAGCAATCTTCACTGCAGGCACCTATTATTATTTATCTTTGGTGCTTAGCAGAGTGCTTGAAACGACTTTAGGCACTCAACATACTTGTAGATGTAGAAAGAAATTACTTTATGGATGGACAGCACATTGCTGTGTTTCTGGGTTTTTTGGTTTTATTCCGTGATTAAGGCTAGTAGTAAAGATGAAGATAAATAGCTTAACCATTTGGCTGTGTCAGGTTGAATAACTGAAATGTGTATCTAGTCTCTGTAGAACAAGTCAGCATGTTTTCTTTCTTTCAGCTGTACACATTGAGAAGATAATGTTGAAAGGAGTCCAGAGAAAAAGGGCTGACAAATATTGGGAGTACACCTTCAAAGTAAGCTACTCTCACCCAAAAAAGATACCTCACACTGTGTTCAATGATCTTTTGGAAGGAATGAAAATTGCTCTTTGGAAAAGCTAAATGGCAGGTTTGCTAACTTAAGAAAAGCAGTGCACATGTCTGTGTTTGTCTGAACTAAGGGAATGTGCTTTTCTCAGGATATGCTGCATGGTTGCCCAGTTTTTAAAAACATGTCACATGAAGATTACTCTGACAGTGTTATTAAAAAGAAATAAGAGCCTTAGATTTAAGGCCTAAGAAAGTCTTCAGCAAGTGAGAGTGAAGAGTGAGCAGTTTTGAGCGTCAGGATGACGGGCGTCATCTTCGGGTGTCTCTCCTCTTCCTCCGGGTCTGCTGTTTCCGGGCCCTCGTTGCCTGGGGTGGTCTCTAGTTGCCCTGCTGTCCTCCTGTCGGCCCCACAGGATCTGACTGAGCGCAGAGCCCAGCGCTGTCGGTCCCCGCGGCTCCTCTTTGCCTGTGGCCTGTGCAGTGGACCCTGGTCCATGTCTCCCTCCTCCCTGCCGGCTGCACCGGCCAGCCCTGCTCTTGAGGAGCGGCCGCCTGCGCTGGTGCTGCAGCGGGGAGGCCGTCTCTGTGTGCCCGCCCCTCACTTCCTTCTGGAGGAGCTGCCCGCCAGACGTCAGCGGTCCTGCCTCGTGAAGTCACTTCTGATCCTCCAGCAGAAGGTCTCCTTCATCCTGGGTGTACCGCCATCACCCCTTTCCCAGGTTCTTGTACTTGGGTTACATGGTATTTCTTTCCAGAAGGCTGTCATCTCCGAGAGAGCAGGAATCATCATCCTCTGCATCTCACCATGTCTGACTTGCCTAGTTTTGTTGAATAGGTTTTGGGACCAGCTTCTGTCTTCTGTAGAAGTATCCTCAATTTTCAGATTTTAAGTCCTCATCTCCACATCTCATCTACATTTTGTAACATTTGACGCCAGCCATTCTGCGCTCTTCACTCAGCTAGTCCAGCTCTCCTTTCGTTGCTGGAGCTCTTAGCTCGTTCCTTCCTTAAGGCCTTCGTGTTCTCTGGCTCTGAACCATCTCTCTGCCTACAGACTTAGGCCCCAGATTGAGGCCCCCCCGCCAAGGTCACTCTTGGCACCTGTGTCATGTGCTGCTTGCAGCCCCTGCTCTGTGCCCAGTGCATCTGTGGAGCCCTGGTCACTGACGGAACTCTCTCTGCTCACGGGCTCTGGTCTAACTCCTGCCCTGGGCTCTGACCTCAGCCCGCAGAGACTCCGCTGTCTTGTCCCCTCCGTATCCTTTCATGAGAACGGTATCTGACACAAGTAGCTGCTCAACAACCATTTGAATAATTAGAAGTCATTAAAAAGTTGTGCCCTGTTAATAAGGATATTTGTTTGAGGGTTGCTGGGTAAAATTTTGAGTGTATTGTTAAGTATTTGGTTAATTGTGGCATGAGTAGTTGCTAAGGCTAATGTGTTACATAGTTCAAGTATTTATACTCAGATAATTGTAAAGTAGAAATTATTAGTGGGCCATCATTGAGTTCACTGAATTAAAAGTATCCAAGAAGTAGGTGGGTGATCGATTTTAGTTCTGGCTGTTCTGCTTGCTTAGAGTTCAAATCTGTCAGTTAGCCTTTTTGAGTTTTAGTTTCTCCATCTGCAAATGGAAGTAGTCATTTCTGCCTCATCCACCTTAATGGGACTTTAAAGCATTAAGATAAAGATAATGAAATCTTTCCCTAAACTATAAATTCCCATAAAAGTACAATTCAGCACTACCAAAGAGGGGCAGTGAACCCGGGATTTCTCTTAAGAATGTGTATTTAATAAGTGTCAGGAGATAAAATGTTTCTTTCTCTTGGGCTTAGATCTGTACTGTCCAAGTGTCATTTCAGAGTCCTACAACTTCTCCAAAAGGAATGTAAGACATTCCCATTCTGAAAAATTACTAAAATGTAGTCATATTTATAGAAGACAGCTTGTTTTGAAAACCATGCAATTTGAAAGGAGTTACTAAAATTTTTAAGTAACATGTCAATATACAGTTAATTTTAACAATTTTGAAGAAATTATGATAATAACAGATTAACTTTATATTTCTAATTTGTTGATCTTGATAAAGTTTAAGTAAGGTCGACTATTTTACACATGGCTTTTTTCCAGTCAGTTCTTGCCTGAGAAATAACTGTATAGTATGTGTTGTTGTTGTTTTTTCTTTTTAATTCAGGTAAATTGGTCTGATCTTTCAGTCACAACAGTAACAAAAACCCACCAAGAACTACAGGAATTTCTACTGAAGGTAAAATTACAGTTTTTATTGTTAAAGTGATTTTGATTTAATGACACAGAATCCAGAACCTTTAGCATCAAAGTAAACACCAGGAATATTAAAACATGTATGTAGAGGTTGACTTACAACTCTTCATGAACATTAGCTGTAGAAAATGTCGTATTATTCTAAGTATAGATTTTCTTATGGTGTATTGCTAATGTAAGGAATTGAAGGCTTTCCACATTTTAAAAAAAAAGGGAACCTTATTTTTCATAGCTCTTGCTGAGATGTATGTTGTTGGTGGCTGTGTGCCCAGCACCCAGCAGGGTCTCTCTGGGTTTCCTAAGCTTTGACTGTCCTTTTTCTTGATAGATTTCATTTTTTAGTCATAGAACTTCTCTAAAAGTTAGATTTTTTTAAGTATATATATATATATATATATATATATATATAATTATTAGTCCCAAATAGATAACTTATCCTTCAGAATCTCAGTAATTAATGATCCCCTATTTAGCCAACATTTGAATATAGTGTTTTTTTCTGTAAGACCAGCGCCTTATCAAGTTATATGAAATAAGTGGCAACATAGTGTACTTCTAGGAATGAATTTCCTATTATAAAATATCCTTTCAAGTTTACATATGCCTTTTTTCCCCCTGTTTACCTTCCTTTTAAAATTATCTGCAAAGTGTAAGAGTGAAAACGGTCCCCTTTGCAACCTGGGCTCCCTAAGACACACTAACTTTTACGGAGGCTGATGGGCGGCACTTAGAGTTTGCTGAAATGTGCAAGAGTGAGGCCGGCCCTTCCAGTCCCTTTTCCGTCTCAGTGGCCCCAGGGTCTACACCCTGGCCCCCTCCCCTGCTGCTCTCGGGCAGCAGTGTCCGGCACCAGTGTTGTTCCTCCGCAGAAAGGCAGCTGCATGGAGGCCAGCTGTAGGTCTCTTCCTCAGTGCTGCATCCACAGCCAGACACAGTCGGAGTTTGAACTGTGCGTTGACTGCACGAATGAACAAATTTGTGAGAAGAGTTACAAAAACTAAATTGGCATGAGGTTTTGTAGATGGTTATCCATCAGGCCTCAATGTTTTTAAAGAAGAGCTTCTAGCACGCTGAGCTGGGGCTCCAGAGGGGGGGACTGCTTGTGTAAAACTCGGGGTTTTGCCCTGTCGTTCCCACCCAGCTCTTCACTGGGAGTGTAGCTTTGGCAGTCTGACCTGAGAAACAGGAGGCACAGAAGTGGTAACTACCAAGACAGGTCACACTTTGCAGAATGCTATTTGAGCTCTGGGAAATGCTCCATTTAACTGAAGCGCCTCGCTGTGGGTGTCCAGCAGCAGGAGAGGCGCCTGGTGACCTGCAGCAGGGTGAGCGCTGTGGGGGGGGCACCCCCTACCGCCATGGGGCGCCCCGGGACCCCGCCACCCCGCTGAGCACGGCGGCTGCTCCAGGCTGCGGCCCTGTGTCGGGAAGGTTTAGAAAAGGAAGGGCTTTGGGGTGATTTCTGAGCAGGATGCACTTACCTTCCTTTTATGCCCCTGGTTTGTGACCTGTTTGCCAGTGAGTGAGAGACGTGACGCTGGCCATGCGGCTTTTCTTTTGTAGCTTCCCAAGGAGTTGTCCTCGGAGACTTTTGATAAGACCATCCTCCGAGCCCTGAATCAGGGCTCGCTGAAGAGGGAGGAGCGGCGGCACCCTGACCTGGAGCCCGTGCTGAGGTGAGGTCTGCGCGCGCGCTCCGGGGGTGAGGTCTGCGCGCCGCGCGCTCCGGGGGTGAGGTCTGCCCGCCGCGCGCTCCGGGGGTGAGGTCTGCGCGCGCGCTCCGGGGGTGAGGTCTGCCCGCCGCGCGCTCCGGGGATGAGGTCTGCGCGCCGCGTGCTCCGGGGGTGAGGTCTGCCCGCCGCGCGCTCCGGGGGTGAGGTCTGCCCGCCGCGCGCTCCGGGGGTGAGGTCTGCCCGCCGCGCGCTCCGGGGGTGAGGTCTGTGCGCGCGCTCCGGGGGTGAGGTCTGCCCGCCCCGCGCTCCGGGGGTGAGGTCTGCGCGCGCACTCCGGGGGTGAGGTCTGTGCACGCGCTCCGGGGGTGAGGTCTGCCCGCCCAGCGCTCCGGGGGTGAGGTCTGCACGGCTCAGCGTGCCGCAGGCAGCTCGTGGCCAGCCCGGGCTGAGGACTGGGGCGATGTCTCTGCAAAAGTTATGTTAAAGAAGTGACTTTTTCTTATACTTGCCTTTAAAAACACCCCTGATTGTTCTATGTGGCTAGGCTGTGGTCTCAGCACCATAAATTGGATTCGGGACTCTGATTCCCAGTTTGTGGGTTTTAGGTCAGTGTCACTGTCACTCCTGCCGTTAAGAAATGCAGCAGCTGTAAAGGAGGGGGAAGACGAAAGAGGGAGGAAATGAGTGTGTGAGGGAGGGAAGTGTGTAAAGAGGGAGGAAATGAGTGAGGGAGGGAGGGAGGTGTGTAAAGAGGAAGGAAATGAGTGAGGGAGGGAGGGAGGTGTGTAAAGAGGGAGGAAATGAGTGAGGGAGGGAGGGAGGTGTGTAAAGAGGGAGGAAATGAGTGAGGGAGGGAGGGAGGTGTGTAAAGAGGGAGGAAATGAGTGAGGGAGGGAGGGAGGTGTGTAAAGAGGGAGGAAATGAGTGAGGGAGGGAGGGAGGTGTGTAAAGAGGGAGGAAATGAGTGAGGGAGGGAGGGAGGTGTGTAAAGAGGGAGGAAATGAGTGAGGGAGGGAGGGAAGTGTGTAAAGAGGGAGGAAATGAGTGAGGGAGGGAGGGAAGTGTGTAAAGAGGGAGGAAATGAGTGTGTAAGTGAGGCGGCGATGGACCAGTACAGGACCTGGTGTCTGCGTTCCCTCCCGCCTGCACTGGGGATTAGGAAGATGAAGGTATGGTACGGAAACGTGCCTTTGGGGTTGGATGACGTCAGTCATGTCAAAATGCAATTTTGTTTTTCTTACTTAATTGCGTGAGTAGTTGATGGCCACTTTGTGTCCTGTTTGGGTGTAATTGCTCTCTCGGGGCCCTGCAGCAGTGAATCTGAGGAGCCTGTATGCTGATTACAAGCCTCTGTCTTGTACTGGATATCACTGTACTTCTGACCAATTAGTTGGTTTGTAAACAGTTGGTTGGATAAACAGAAGCCGTTGGATTTTAATCCCCATTCTTCGGTAGTGTGTTCAGACCTGGAAATTTAGGTGAGCTCCATACTTTGCATCTGTTTCTCCTCCATCTCTCCATTTCCCCCCTTGTCTTCCTGTTGCATGTTTGCCTCCACGTTATGAGTTCCAAGAAGTTTTGTCTAATGCACAAGGAAACTTTGGTCCATAAGGGTCATCTCTTGATATAATTGATGATTTTAGAACTAATTGGAATGGTAGGTCTGAAACCTTGGAGAGACATTAAGAACTAAATTTTTGAATGAGCACTTAAAAGTATTCAAAAGCAATGAAAAGAGATTTGTATGTTGAGTGGGGTGACAGTTTAATGTGTGTGTACTATTTGAGTATCATAACCTTGAAGAATGTTGATATTTCCTAAGAGGAATTTGGAGCTGAAAGGCCACATGCCTTGTTTAGGGTGACTCAGCTTGTAAGTGATTAAGCTGGTGTTCACACCCCAAGTAAACTTCCATCAGACTGTGCTGTAACTCTGCCCCTTTTGTAGGGAAGACCTCTACTTGGAATCCCCTAATGACATTAATACAACAGGAGGAAAGCTGTTCTTAAAGATAACAGCTTAGACTCATGGTGTGATGCATAGTGGGGTGACTCATCAGACACACATGCCTTAGTCTGCGGCAGTCCTTGTAGCTAACCTGGCAGCGTCTTGGGTTTCCAGTACTCCTGCGTCGAAACTTCCCAGTCTCTGTATCTTTAGGGAGTGGGATGGCTCCTTCACGGTGCAGCCGAATGGTGAAAAGTAACGCCTGTGAAGAAGGGTAAAGACCCTGCAGTTGTTCTTCTGAGCAGAAAGGTGATTGTTAATAACACGTGTTGGGTCAGAATTGAAACTTTATCACTAGATTATATAAAATTGAAAATAAGCCTGTTTATTAGATTCTTGTAAATAAGTCTTTTATTCATTTTCTCCTGTGGGAAATACATTAGCGAACAAATATTCTCTTCTTTAGGAAAACAGTTTTTTGCACCTGAATTAAACTGCCACGTGGTTTGTTTACCATCTCACCTATCTTGTGGGTTTATTGCATGAAATTAACCAATCTATTTTCTTTTTACATGCAGGCAGCTATTTTCAACTTCATCACAAGCTTTTCTACAGAGTCAGAAAGTACACAGCTTTTTTCAGTCCTTATCATCTGACCCTCTACACAGCCTCAGTAAGTGTCTCCACTCCTCCGTCGAAATCTGACATTTTTCTGGCCTGGATTTCTTGCTTTACCACGCCATCTTGTATATGGGATTGTCGTTTTAGTTAAGGTCAAGTAGCATACAAATTAGAAACATTGGTAGTTTTTAGTCAATTTTCACTGCAGTTTTAAGGAAAGTAACTTATAAAAGCTAATGTCACAAAACAGTAATGACCCGTATGTGAAAAACATCTGTGAAAGAGTGGAGATTTATAACTGATTCACTGTGCTTACAGCGGAAACTAATAGCTAAATCAGTGGTACTGTAATGAAAATTTTAAAAGAAAAAAATGCTAACATCACAAAACAGGGGCCAGGTATCTCAAACTCGTGGGCCTTCTGGATCCTCAGGCCCCTTGACAGACCTGACTCACAGGTTGCAGAGACACTCTAGTGCAGCCTGGATGATGGATAAGCTCTGATCTCTGCCCCTGTTCCCATAAGGACCTCCCCAGCCTTCAGGCCGGAAGCTCTGGCCTTATCGTCTTCACATTTCCCCTTCATGTCCAGTCATTTAAAGACCAAGCCAGCAGACAGGACATCTTCCTTCTTGCCCTTTTCACCAGCCCCACTGCCAGGCCTTATTTTCACGCATAGACTGTACCAAGCCTCACTTCTCTCCAATTCTAGTTTCTCACTCTATTGTAACCTGCCCCAGAATTATCTTGGGGATCAGTTTGTTAATCCTCTTGTTGTTGTTCAGTCATTAAGTTGTGTCCAACTCTGTGACACCATGGGCTGCAGCACACGAGGCTCCCCTGTCTTTCACTCTCTTCTGGAGTTTGCTCAAATTCATATCCGTTGAGTCAGTGATGCTGTCTAACCATCTCATCCTCTGTCGCCCCCTTCTCCTCCTGCCTTCAATCTTTCAAAGCATCAGGGTCTTTTCCATGAGTCAGCTCTTCGCATCAGGTGGCCAGAGTATTGGAGCTTCTGTCCACCCTCTATTCAGAGCATTAAACATCTGCTGTGAGGCTCAGGCCCTCTCATGAGCATCCTTGAGCCTCCTCTCCCCGGTTTAAAGGCTTGGCAGCCACTCAGTACACCTGACCATTTCCTATTCCAGGGCCTTGCTCTTTTGCACCCTTTTGTCACAGTCTGTTAAGATCACACCTGTTTTTTAGGACCCAACTGAAATAACCACCTCACAAGGATATTTCCTAGCTTTCCTGTATGTTTCTGTGGTTTGGTTTTGCCCTGATGTTTCAGCATTGATCACAGTCTGCTTTGCATTTAGTTTTGTACACATCTATCTCAGCTGCCTTTTCTAACAAATATTTTGCCAGTAACATCAAAACAGTCAGTGCTTTCTTCCTGAACCAAGTGTAATTTTTTAAATGAATATCTATAAATAGCATCTGTTTAATTCTAAAGAAGCATTGAGGCCTGAAGTTAAACTTTTAATTCAGATTTTAGCCAGGCTGCCTAGGAAAATGTGCTCAAGTGAGTAGTACACACATAAATAAGAGAAAACTCATCTGGAGAGTTTGGCAGTTTGTAAATTACATAAGCAATGCTAAAGAGGCTGGTGGATTTTTAAGATCTCAAATTGTGTGAAATCAAAATACTGTATTAAAGGACCTGTTTTGAAATTGTGGAAAATCTCAAGTTATTTCACCAAAGAACATATTGTTGGCAAAGTTCATTTTGCACCCACTCCTTTAAGAAAGGGCTTCTCTAGTAGCTCAGACGGTAAAGCATTCGCCTGGAATGCAGGAGACCTAGGTTCGATCCCTGGGTTGGGAAGATCCCCTGGAGAAGGAAATGACAACCACTCTAGGATTCTTGCCTGGAGAATTTCATGGACAGAGGAGCCTGGCGGGCTACAGTCCATGGGGTTGTACAGAGTCAGACATAACTAAGCGACTAACACACACTTTTAAGAAATGACAGTTCCACAGTCCTCCTGCCTCCCTGAAATAGCAACATTCCACATTCTGACATCCGAGAAAACAGATGTTAGACACCCGAATGACTTAAGACGTTAACCTCTGCAAGCCCACTGGTCTGTCTGGAACGGCGAAGCGACCCGGCGCGCACAGTGTGCCCCGAGGGCCCGGGCTGACCCGCGAGCGCCGGCCACACGTCTGGAGGAAGAGCAGCAGCGGGAGGTGCCGTGCGTCGCTGCAGCCGCCTGATGTCACCACACTGCACTGTCGTTCATAAAAGGAGCACGAAACTGGAGATTCTAAAACGAAAACCTTACACAGCACAGATGTTTAGAAGCACTAATCCAGTCCATCTCCTCACATTGCACCAGGGCACACGGGCAGGCAGATGTGAACCCAGTTGCTCCAGTCCTGTGGCTTCTATGGGGAGAGCTGGCTGCGTGGTTCAGGGTCCCCGCTCCCGGCCCAAGGGTCTGTGCCACGTCCCCTTGCTTGCTTGTTGCTTCCCTAACTACCGGAAACGTTCTCTTTGCCATTGACTCTCAACTCTCATCTTCTGTGGGAGAAAAGTAATCATTGCACTTGTTTGTCTCACTGTAGTAATTTCCCTAAAAATTAATGACATTTAATACTTCCTGCAGATAACTTACAATCCTCTCTGAAGACCTGTAAGATATTAGAACACTTGAAAGAAGACAGCTCGGAAGCGTCAAGTCAAGAAGAAGGTAAACATTGATTCGCTGGGATGGATAAGTCATTCTGCCTAGTATTGTTGCAGGGGTAGGTCAAACAGCCAGCCAGCACAGATCAAGGAACCGAGAGACAGACATGTGGGGACTTGGCGTGTGACAGGTGGCGTTTCAGAGACAGGGGGAAACTGTGTATGATAAGTGGTACTGGCTGGCTTTCCAGTCGGGAAAAATTATATAATTAGATCCCTACTTCTGTCGTGCACAGAACATTTCAAGTGAATAGCACATTATATGTAGCATATATAAACTTAGTGTAAAATATAAAACTTGAGTTTTTAAAGGTTAGTACTCTGGGACAAGAAGGCTTTCCAGACAAGACAGAGTTAGTATGACCATAGGGGAGATCTTTCTGTTCTGAATTAAAGCTTAACATGTGACAGAAAGCCACACAGACATTTGCAGGGTATTTACAGGTAAAGACTACAACCAAGACTGTACAGTCTTCTAAAAAATCATGGAGAAAATCAGTCCGGTCAACAACATAGGGAAAGATAAAAATAGGCAATTCACAGAAGAACCTTGAATGGTTCAGTCCCCTGAGTAGTCCAGAAAATGCAAAGGAAAGCAATGAGAAATGATTTCATACCCATCAGATTGGCAAACCATTTTCAAGTTTGGGAATTATCAAGGATATGAAGTAAGGGGAATTCTCACCCACCGTCAATGGGAATTTAAATTGGTGCAAGTATTTTGGACAGAAATTCGATGCTGTCATGCAGTTGGAGGTGGTTGATGCCGCTCCCCAGCGTTTCTGCTTCTGTGAACATTGTCGCCCATGGGCTCAGGGGGCAGGACTCGGGGGCTGTCCCGGCAGCCTGTGGGGGAACAGCAAAACCCTGAATGTTACCCGAGCGTTTCAGATGTTAATAAAGTCATGAATAGATTGAGGCACGTTCACGCTAGGTGGCAGTTAAAATGAACGATATTTATAGTATATTCAAACATGTAGCACCACTCTGTTTGTGAATGCACACATGGGTAGTTAAAAACAATACACCAGAGTATTTCAGCTAACCTCTGTAGGGGCAGGGACTGGAATGCAATGGAGGGAGGCATTTAATTGTTCCCAGGATGTTTCCTTTCTTAATAAAAAGAGGAAAATACAGAGATATCCAGGAGGTGGGTACATGGGTGTTGGTTTTATTAATATGTATTTTTTTTTTAATTTGAGACACTTCATTTGTTTTAATGGCAAAAAAAAAAAAAAAAAGGCCTGAAATTCAATGTGTGGTTTTTCAGTTTAATGTGCATAGTCAACTTCTGTAGTTTTGGACAAATTTGATCTGCTGTTAGGTGGAATGTGTTTGAGAGGATATTTAAGAAAGTTCAGTCACTGACTGTCTTGGGAAATTGTTTCTTTGAGGAATTTTCCTTGTGCTTGGAAGCGCTCTAAGTGGTCTGTCAACACTGTTATGGTCGTAAATCAGCTGTGGCCTCTGTTTGGATTTTGCAGAAGGGTGTGGTGCAATAAATTGTTTTTTTTTCCCTCCACTCTAGATGTGTTACAGCACACCGTAATCCACAAGAAACATGCCGGCAAAAGCCCCCTTGGGAAGTAGGTATCTCTCCTAAAACCTGAAGGACTTTGTGTTTTTGAATCAACCTCATGTTTACTTCCTGATAGTTAGTTGCCATTCTGCCTCTCACTGTTTGCTGGTTACTTGTATCAGCTCTAGCTCTCCTTGCGTTCTGGTGGTTTTCAATCCTGCCCCTCTGCTGTGTTAGCTGCCACGGTTGTGCACACTCTGGTTTTTGTCCTTGCCGCGGTTGCCTGGAGGTTTCGTTCTCCATCGGCAGCTCAGGAAGGTCTGACCCCAGTTGTTCTCGGACCACTTCCATGTGAGGACCTTGCATCACTGTCGCTTCACTTACCTCCTCCCAGCTTACAAACTATACCTGTCATGTACCTTAGTTCTCCTTTAAACCTCATGAAGCCTTTTTTTCATTCATCATTTAAATACTACCATTCCATTGTTCTTCATTCCTTCCAGTATGTCTGAGCATCCTTCTAACTGAAGAACACTTGAGAAATTCCTGTCATCATTGTCTGCCAGTGATGAGTTCACTTTGTTTTTCTCAAGAAGAAATGTCCGTCTCTCCTTCCTTTTTGAAAGACATTTCGCAGATAGGACATAGGACTGCAGGCGGGTAGTTACTTCCTGTCAGCGCTACAAGCGCCTGGATCACTGTCTCCAGGCCTGTGCCTTGGGTCCTTCACTTCATCTCCTCTCAGCCCGGTTTGATTTCTGCCGCAAAGCACCTAAAATCATCTGTGTGACTTCCGACCCCCTCCCACTGCTGCAGTCTCCCTAGACTCCCGCCCCGGGGGTCGTGCGGGTGCTCTGGGCCTGCTTGGCCCTGGAACCGGCCGGCTCAGAGCTGGAAGTTCGTTTGCCCAGGGCTCCGCCCTCACCGGTGGGGAGCTCCAGCTCCTGCCCCTGGGGAGGTAGCTGTGGGGGTCCCAGGGGGCTTGAGCCTCTGCAGCTCGTGGCGGCCCCAGTGACAGCCCCTCAGGCTGGCTTCTCCCCTCCCGTCTGACTTGCCCCACTCCTTGCTCCTGCCTCCCAGATGCCCTGCTGTGTCACCCAGCTTCTGCTTCTAGGACGAGCTCAAGACTGCAGGTATCTGTCGTCTCCACCTTGTTACTTTCCGAACGTTAGGGTGCTTTTCCAAACCTGGACTGTGTGTGTGAATTTTCCCATTGTCTGGTTTTCAGCAGTTCCCTGTGATAAGTTTGCAGTTTTCTTTGAATGCGTCCCCTCTCTTGAAGCTGACGCTTGATGGTTTCGTTTGAGAGGAGCCCAGCCTCTCTCCCCATGCGCTGCTTCTGCCTGTGATCTGGCTCCCCCTTCTGTGACCCTGGGTGTTCACAGGTCGGACTCTTCACCACATCCCCTCTGCTCTCTCAGACTTCTTTTGTTGTCACATTTTTTCCCTGTCCATGCTCCAGTCTGTTTTCTCATGACCAGATTTCCTCTTCACTGATTCTCTTCATCTGTTTCCATCCATTGAATTCCTAATTTATCTTAGTTCAGTTCAGTCGCTCAGTCGTGTCTGACTCTTTGCGACCCCATGAATCGCAGCACACCAGGCCTCCCTGTCCATCACAAGCTCCCAGAGTTTACTCAGACTCATGCCTATCGAGTCGGTGATGCCATCCAGCCATCTCATCCTCTGTCGTCCCCTTCTCCTCCTGTCCCCAATCCCTCCCAGCATCACAGTCTTTTCCAACAAGTCAACTCTTCGCATCAGGTGGCCAAACTATTAGAGTTTCAGCTTCAGCATCAGTCCTTCCAATGAACACCCAGAACTGATATCCTTTAGGATGGACTGGTTGAATCTCCTTGCAGTCCAAGGGACCCTCAAGAGTCTTCTCCAACACCACAGTTCAAAAGCATCAATTTTTCGGCGCTCAGCTTTCTTCACAGCCCAACTCTCACATCCATACATGACCACTGGAAAAACCATAGCCTTGACCAGACGGACCTTTGTTGGCAAAGTAATGTCTCTACTTTTTAATATGCTATCTAGGTTGGTCATAACTTTCCTTCCAAGGAGTAAGCGTCTTTTAATTTCATGGCTGCAGTCACCACCTGCAGTGATTTTGGAGCCCAAAAACATAAAGTCTGACACTGTTTCCACTGTCTCCCCATCTATTTCCCATGAGGTGATAGGACCAGATGCCATGATCTTAGTTTTCTGAATGTTGAGCTTTAAGCCAACTTTTTCACTCTCCTGTTTGACTTTCACCAAGAGGCTTTTTAGTTCCTCTTCACTTTCTGCCATAGGGGTGGTGTCATCTGCATATCTGAGGTTATTGATATTTCTCCTAGCAATCTTGATTTCTAACCCTAATTAATTTTACAGTTCTAGAATTTAAATTTGACTCCTTTTTCTGTTTTCCAGTATTCTTCCAAAATTCTGTCATCCTGTAGCTCCTGACCGGTGTTGAGCACTGTTAGTTTAGAGTCTGTGTCCAGTAATTCTCTGGATTCTCTTTGAGTCTGTTTCTGTGGCCTGTTCCTCTTGATTTCCAGTCACATTATGCTGTCCCTTCCCTTGCCTTAAGACACACACAGTCCACAGCGATTTTCTCAAGATTAGGGTTAGTACCCCAGTTGTGAGCCACATGGAATGAGTCCAGAGATAGACTGCCTTTGTCAAGCTCCTCAGAGACAGGAATTAATTAATAAATAGGTAAGAATGCTATGTACTGGCTTATTTTCATAGTTTACTTTTTTCCTTAGAGCTATTGCAAGGCATTCTATAAAAAACTAATGCACTGAAGAAAGGGTTGCCGTCGCTTCTTCACTGTACGCTGAGCAGGTGGGATTTTTGAGGATGGAGCTTCACACTGGCACGAACTCTTTCTCTTGCTAGCACTGTCGGTGCGGGTTGTTCCCCGGGGGACCGGCTCCCTGTGCAGTATGCTGAGCAGAATGGAGTTGTGGACTGGAGGAAGCCAGCCTATGCCACCGGTCAGCGCCAGGAGCAGTGTGTGGCCTTAGTTGACCAGGTACGGCGGTGGTCTCGTCATCTTCCATGCCGATCAGGTGGTGCTGCTGCATGCAAGTCAAGTTTGTAAGCACTGTGAGGTCTGCTAGTGTATCTGGTAAGAAGAAATGAAGGAACGTTTGATTGCAAGACTTTGAAGTTAATTGATATACATGACCTAAGCTCCTCTGGGACCTGAAGAGAAGTGTATATCAGTTTTATTACTCAGAAATACTAATAGATTTTATTGTGATGATGCCGGAAATGATTCACTAGGGATACACCGTTATGCCGTGTTTTTTTATTTGAAAGAATTATTTACATTTTGGTCACTGTCTCACTGTGGAGATGTGAATTTTGAAAAGGCCCTTCCCTCGTGAGTTGCTGGGCCAGTTTCCCAGCACTCACAAACATGATCAGGAAGTACTCGCTTTTCAGGCGCTGGTGTAGTCAGAGGACTGAGTGCGCCCCAGTGTGTTTAGGCGCCACGGCACTGTGAATACAGGGGCGATGCTTACTGGGACCACTCTGGAGAGAACCACCTTCTCTAGAAAATGGATCTATGTTCCTGGCGAACACTCAGGTCCAGATGTGAACCTTTATTGGGATTGTGATGTGTTTTATGAACTAAAGCACTAAAACATACTTTGAGAAATTGTGTTATTCAAGTCATACTTACTAATGGCCGATTTTCAGGTCCACTTGATTATAGTTTTTCTGCATCTACTTCAGTGCCTGCACCTTTTCTTCTTAGAGTTGACACAGTCGTGTGTTTACCGACCTGAACTTGATGAGAAGACAAGTAAACCTGTAGCAAGTACCAGTTACTTGGTTCTGGTTTTTTAGTGACAAAAAGAAAACACATCCGTTTTATTAATAAAAGCAAAATACAGAGTAGGTATTTTTCTCATGATTAAGTATTTTTCAGAAATTATGCAAATGTTAGTGGATCAAGTAGGTAACTTCAAAAAAGATTGAAAACAAAAATGTGTTAGAATATACAACTGGGATTGCGTCATTTTAATGTCTCATAATAAGAGGGTACCTCCTTGAATATGGCCGTGCTTTGGTCCAGTTACTGTTTTATTCTTTTCCGTAGCATTCAACTGAAAAGCGAAGTTTATCTTCAATCAGTAAGAAGAAAGGAAAACCACAAATAGAAAAGTAGGTTTAATTTAATATTTCCAGTAATAGAAATTGGTCAGAAAAGACAACATTTGATAATAGACCTGTTTAGTTGATGTAGTATAAATAGTATTTTTCCACTAGTTTTCTTTTTATTTTTACTCTGGACTTCTTTTTTTTAGTTCTAGGTAGTCAACACATGCACATAATAAAAATAAGGCTGTTGTCGTGTATCATGTTCAGTTTGGAGGGGCAGAGTCTCCAGGCCTGCCCACTGAAAAGGGGGATCTTGCATTCACATTATACCTTACTAAACATTCTTTTTTAATTATTAAAAATAAATTGAGGGGAATTTTATTAGTATTGTAGTTAATGTGTTCTCTAGGGACTGTTAAAAAGGTGTTGGTAACATGTATACTTTTGGCTTAGGGAGAAAATTAAGAAAACTGACAATAGATTGAATAGTAGAATAAATGGTATTCGAATCTCTGCTCTTCCGCACACCCACGGTGGTTCTGTGAAAGGTAAGGGAGTTTTTCTTTCAATTATACATCACCTAAATATATTTAGCAGGGTACCTATTAGAGTGGGTGTTGAGCTGTGGTGTCAGAGCCTCACACACGTTTCCCCGCATTGCTGTGAGTAGTAACTTCTGAGTTAACTCTGTGAACACTTCAGATGTGTTTAGTGCAGGAGGTTCGGTCTGGCCCGGAGGTGGAAGGACCTCTGCCGCAGCTACACTCTGCCCCCTTCCCTCCCCTGGCGGCAGCGGTCTCATCACGGCTCTCCTCTTCGGCCACTCCATGCGCCAGAGCGGAGGCCGCAGGACCTGAGGGGTCTGTCCAGCCTTGCAGAAGCCCGTGCTCTAGTGTAAAGTCATCTTAAAAAATCTTATTGACTCTTTCAAACTTTAATGACCATCCTTTGTGGAACTTTATGGGAATCACAAACTGAAATCAAGATTGCCGGGAGAAATATCAGCAACCTCAGACATGCAGATGACACCACTCTTACGGCAGAAAGTGAAGAGGGACTAAAGAGCATCTAGATGAAAGTGAAAGAGAGGAGTGCAAAAGCTGGCTTGAAACTCAGCATTCAGAAACATGAGATCATGGCATCCTGTCCCATCACTTCATGGAAAACAGAAGGGGAAAAGTGGAGTCGGTGACAGGTTTTCTTTTCTTGGGCTCCAGAGTCACTGCAGACAGTGACTGCAGCCATGAAATTAAAAGACTCTTGCTCCTTGGAAGAAAAGCTGTGACAAACCTAGACAGCATATTGAAAACCAGAGACATCGCTTTGCCAGCAAAGGTCTGTCTAGTCAAGGCTGTGGTTTTTCCAGTGGTCATGTGTGGGTGTGAGAGCTGGACTGTAAGAAGGACCTTGAGAAGACCGAGCACTGAAGTACTGCTGCTTTCAAACCGTGGTGCTAGAGAGGACTCCTGAGAGTCCCTGGGACTGCAGGGGGAGCAGAGGAACCTGGGGGCCAGCTCTTTGGAGTAACGTTTCGTGTTGTGACACTGCAGTGTCTGAGGTTCCCGTGGTGATGGCAGCTGAAAGAAGGGGGCGCTGCTGAAACCAGGGGGGCAGGAGTTCTCGGTGGATGACTAGAAACAGCTCCTGCCGGGACTCCCTGTCTGTTTCCTCCTGGTTCGTTCTCTGCACTGCCTTCTAAACCACATGCTAAATCAGGTCATCTCGAGTCCAGACTCCTGTCAGGTGTATGCCACCCTCAAGGTCACTCTGGTCACATATTCTGTGGGAACTGCATCCACAAAGTTGGTAACAGTTTCTTCCGCTTCAGCTTCGTATTGTCAGAGATTCGCGTGGACTTTGATCTCAGATGGTGTAGGTTTGCATCTTTACCACCCCCCAAGTTTCTTAAATTTGTACAAGAAGAATACTATCCACCTCACCAGATTGTAAGACTTACATGTGACAACATATGAAAAGCATTTGGCTTGCATCAAGTACCAAGGTGGTCAGTCATGTAATTCTTGCCTCTTCTAATAAGTTAGAAGAAAACATATGCTGTCTAGGTTAAGAACTTTTGGTAATCGATCAGACTTTTAATTCCTTTATTTTCAGATATTATGAAAGTACAACCTCAGGATTTTTAATTCAAGATAAACCTTACTCTATCTTGTTCTCTCTATATGCCACTGATACATATGTGTGTATATATATATATTTATGTATAGAGTAAAACTATAAAAAATACTTTGTACAGCTATTGTCAGGTGTAGCTGAGATGTTTGCTGATGGCAGGTTAAAGGTAAAACCCTCTGTTTATTAATCCATTTGAAATACTGAGGAATTACCTTTAAGATTTTTTAACAGAACAAACACATTTAGTAAATGTAGATTTACTATTACCATTTAATTACTATTTAATATTTAATTACTATTTAATATTGAAGCTGAAAATATTGGGTCCTTTGGTTCATGGATTGTCCAGATTTTTAAATAACTCAGTTTGAGATAAGTGTTTGTAACTTAAAATTTAACTTCTGTTTTGGGTCAAACATATTTATGTTGTTCAAAATTCTGAAAGTACAAAAGGGAACAAAATAAATCCCCCCTGTCCACCTGTATGTTGTCTTCTCCCCGAAGCAGTCGGTGCCGTTCACCATCTGTGTTTTCACAATATTTGCTTTTAAAATTTCAAGCTTTAAATCTCTTTACTAAAGAGAAGTATGCCTTACCTCACTTACAGTATTAAGAACTTTATCCGATTGCATCACCCATATTTCTTCCACCCCATTCTTCTGTTGGCTGATTGTGGCACCGAAAATTTGGGGTTGACCTCTCAATTTATTTTAGATTGTAATGATTTAAAGACCTTCATCTTTCTTTAATAACTCATTGTGGGTCTGTCGTCTGATGTTATCTAAATGGTTCTTAAGTCTGTCTAGCTTCTTTTTGTCCATAAATACTAATAACTAGATTTTTATTATTAGAATAGTGGCTTGTGTAAATTTTTTCCTCTTTGTCGTCTTAATAACATGGGACCCCATCCCATCCTTTCATGGCAAATAGAAGGGGAAAAAGTGGAATCACGGAAAACAATAAGTCAAAAAGTTTATCAGTTCAATTCTGTCGCTCAGTTGTGTTTGACTCTTCGCAACCCCACAGACTGCAGCATGCCAGGCTTCCCTGTCCATCACCAACTCCCGGAGCTTGCTCAAACTCATGTTCATCAAGTCAATGATGTCATCCAACCATCTCATCCTGTTGTCCCCTTCTCCTCCCGCCTTCAATCTTTCCCAGCATCAGAGTCTTTTCTAATGAATCAGTCCTTTGCATCAGGTGGCCAAAGTATTAAGAGCTTCAGCTTCAGCATCAGTCCTTCCAAAGAACATTCAGGACTGATTTCCTTTAGGATTGACTGGTTGGATCTCCTTTCAGTCCAAGAGACTCTCAAGAGTCTTCTCCAACACCACAGTTCAAAAGCATCAATTCTTCGGCACTCAGCTTTCTTTATGGTCCAACTCTCACATCCATACATGAATATCGGAAAAACCATAGCTTTGATTAGATGGACCTTTTTTGGCAAAATAATGTCTCTGCTTTTTAATATGCTCTGTAGGTTGGTCATAGTTTTTCTTCCAAAGAGCAAGCATCTTTTAATTTCATGGCTGCAGTCACCATCTGCAGTGATTTTGGAGCCCAAGAAAATAATCTGTCACAGTTTCCATTGTTGCCACGAAGTGATGGACTGGATGCCATGATCTTAGTTTTTTGAATGTTGAATTTTATATCTCTGTTTGTGGAATAGCCTTTGGCATAGTTAATCATCCTCACCTTCCTCACCTTCTGAGTCCAGAGGATCACATTTCTTTTTTATTATAAAAAATCCAAAGATGCCACACAATTCTAAAGCACCTGGATTGTCAAAAACAGGAAATTATGTTCACTATAGATTTAGATTTATGTATTTATTTCTTTGAAAATTGCAAATTAATCTATGACAGTTGAGTGATTAAAATCTTTACTAGCTATATAATGCAAAGGAAATAATGCCGTACGTTATTTCATTCTGGGAAATAGATGCCTCACCTTCTTTTCAGTGAGCTCACTCCACCCGGGTGGTTTGGTGGTGGTTTTGGTTTTTTTTTCCAGTCCTTCATTTATTTCTGCTTAGAACTCAGGGGCTACTCACTCTACTTCATGGAAAGCAGTTTAATCTTTTCAAATATTCAGGCATGGAAATTTTAACTGAAAGGCATTTTTGGCAGTCAGTTGTATTCTTGAGTTTTGTTTTGTTTTTTTTTTAAGAATTTTATAGTGTACTCAGAGGAGTTTTTGTTTGACTTAAGAAATGGGTCAGTGTGGAAATATTAGGCAGACCCTAAAAAGAACATTAATTCTGATTTTTAAAGTCAATAGATTGACTATTTTCTCTGCCTTTGTTTTAGGAATGTATTTGTCAATTATTTTCAGTTAAAATTGTGTTTCAGTAATGAATCTTCACCTAGGTCAATGGCCAGTTTTTATTACATAATTATAGCAAAACTGAAAAAAAAAATTTACAGCTGTAATTTCTGATGGTTCAGTTCAGAAATTTATTCAGCTGAACTATTCTATTTTTTTAAAAATCATGTACTTTTCAGATGTGAGTTTGGACATTGGATCTGGACATGACACATATGGAGAGACGTCTTCAGAGAGTTACAGCTCTCCTTCTAGCCCCCGACATGATGGGAGAGAGAGCTTTGAAAGTGAAGAAGAAAAAGACAGAGGTTTGCTCTTTGGAAGGGTGTGGGGGAGGCAGAGGGAAATGTGCACTCTTAAAATATGTCAAACATAACTATTTTTATGGTACTGAGAATGTCATTATTGACTTTAAATTTAATTGGTATAACAGGTGTCTTAAAGACCACTGACTTAGCAGTTTCTGCTAATGTTGATTTTTTAAACCTGTTTCGCTGCAAATGATATTAAAGAGAAAGAAGAGTCATAACAAAGTAGAGAGTCTGTGTAGAAAGACTGAAAACTGCATATTGTTAGATGCACATATATTTATTTTTATGTCCTCCTGATTGACCATTTTCATCGTTATAAATATCCTTCTTTGTCTCTAATGACAGATTTTGTCTCAAAGTCTGTTTTATGTGATGATAATACTGTAGCCACTTTAGCTCTCTTTTGGGTGTTTGCAGGTTACTTACCTCTTTTTCCATCCTTGTGCTTTAAATGTGTTTGTGTCTTTGATTCTAAAGTATGTCTCTTAAAGACACCTTATAGTTGGATTATGGGTTTTTTTAAGCCATTCTGCCCATCTCTGCCATTTGGCTGGCTTGTTTATGTATTTAAATTTACTGTAATTAATGATAAGGGAGGATTTATATCTGCCATTTTGTTTTCTGTGAGTACTGTATCTTCAAATCCTCCTTAAATGAAAACCAGAGTCAGCCAGAAGTAAGAACTGAGAGGCACCTTAGGTCCTTACTGGGCAGGCCTACCACCCTGCATATGAGCATGGCCTTCTCGATTCCCAGGGATATATCTAAGCTTTTCAGAGCTTCCTGTGGACATCTCATTCTTCAGTTTTTTTCTTTATAAAGTTTTTTGGTCAGACTCTTGTTAGTCCCAACTGGCAATGCTACCTCAGGCAGCCGTATTGTTAAACAGTTGCCACTGATGGTGACACGTGCCCATGGGTGAACAGCTGTTAACATGGCAGACTCAAGCTGTTAGTCACGCAGTCGTGTCTGACTCTCTGCCCCCTCGTGGCCTGTAGCCCAGCAGGATCCTCTGTCCATAGCATTTCCCAGGCAAGAATGCTGGAGTGGGTTGCCATTTCCTTCTCCAGGGCATCTTCCTGACCCAGGGACTGGACTTGGGTCTCCTACATTGCAAGTGGCTTTGTTGTTGTTGGTGGTGGTGGTCATAATGGGGTTTTGTTAATAAGACATTACACTTTTCAAAGTCAGCTCAGACTTTGAAATATATGAATCACTTGATGAGTCCTTCTAATGAATGCTCAGAAAACCATTTGAGATCAGTTAAAATCATTGGGCTATTTGCTATGACTTAAGATGATTTAAACAAAGCCCATTGAGAAATTTAACTGGTCATCTGAAAAATGTTAACAGCTTCTTTTGAACTTAAATATTATTTTTAACTCTTACTTGTGTGAAGGTACAGATATAGATATAATGCCTTAAGTAAGTTACTAATTGAATACTTTTTGTTTTGCAGAATTTAACAAGGAACTCCTCAGTTATTAAGAGGAGTTTATATTAGAACCATTTATTCATATGTTGAATCTCTTCTAATAAAAATTATTTTTGAGTCAATAGTATTGTTGTTTACACTCTGTGTCACGACATAGGTTCTATTTAACCTTTCTCCAGGAAGCATAGTATGATTTGTTTTTAGAATTCTTTCTAAAAGTTTTAGCCTCTTAGCTGAATATAGCTAGTTACTACCTTAATAAATATAAGCATTTTAAGTACATAAGGCAATTCTGCTTATATTTGTGAGCAAAAAGATGTTAAATAAGGCACTGCATTTAATTGGATGGTCCCCATACATAGTACTACAGTTTCTGGGTTTATGATAAACAGTGTGAATTAAATCTTGTATTTTGCTCCCTTTACACCAAAAATTAAGAAATGCAGGGGAAGTCTATATTGAATTTATTTCTGTTTATAAGCATAAGAGTGCATAAGAATGATACAGTAATAAAAAGAAATGTGATATATTTTTATATCTGCCACTTGGCTGTTTTGTTTTAGGAAAAACAGCAGTGGTCTTGTATTTTTCTTGCTTCTTGTGTTCTAGCATTTATTTTATGACTGTAATGGTAGCTTTACATTTTCTTTCTCCCACTGAAGTATTTAAAAGGAAGACTTTTCCACTCTAGGAAAACTGTCTTCCCTTCTCTATCTCTAGATGTTTAAATTAAATAATTTTGATTGAACTCCTTTAAATTGTATAATTTATGAGAGACAGTTGTGAAGACCTCAGGCTTGGCAGGCAGTACAACATATAAATCAAATGAATTGCCTAAAATTGATTAAGGGTAAAAGATCCCTGATCCCTTATTAATAAAGGTCCGTGTTTATACTGTGCTTCATTCAGGCTCCATTAACCTTTTGTTTCTTACAAACAAATGTCCAAGGATTTTTTTAAGATTTAATTTTTTTAGAGCGGTTTTGGACTTACAATGAAATTCAGAGAAAGACGCAGAAATTTCCTGTGTAGTCCCTCTTCTCACACGGTATCAACATCAGTCACTAGAATGGCACATTTGTTTACCAGGGATGCACCGACTTTGACCCAAAACTGACTTTGACACGTGATGCGTCTAAGGGTGCACTCTTGGTGGTGTACCTTCAGTGGCCCTGGGCAGATGTGTAACGATAGGGATTTGCCGTTACTACATCATAGTGTTTTCACTGCCCTGAAGATCTGTGGTCTGCCTCATCTTCCCCCACCCCCACCCCAACCTCTGGCAACCATCAATCTTTTTATTGTCTCCTTAGTGTCTTGCCTTTTGCAGAATCTCCCTGTTTTTCAAATAAAGTCCATAGAAAGCCAAAAATTAAAAGGTCAGCTCAGTAGTCAGGAAGCTGAGGGGTACATTTATTGGTTTTAAAAGTCAGGTGTATTTTTAAGTATACTTCAATTTTATTTCTGGCAGGATGGACAGGAGATGATGCCTGTGTTAACATCTGTTTACATGTTTCTCTCAGACACAGACAGCAATTCCGAGGACTCTGGAAACCCCTCGACGACCAGGTTTACAAGTTATGGTTCTGTCGGCCAGACGGTCACGGTCAAGCCACCTGTTCAAATTGCTTCCTTAGGAAACGACAGCGCAAACCTTTTGGAAGATCCCTTAAGTTCAGCCAAGTATCAGCATATTTCTTTCATGCCAACTCTACACTGTGTCATGCACAACGGTGCCCAGAAGTCGGAGGTCGTGCTGCCTCCGCCCAAGTCTGCAGATGGCAAGACAATCGGGATGCTGGTCCCCGGCCCCGTGGCGCTCTCCGCCCTCCGGGAGCCCGCGGACCCCGCACCCGTGGGCGCGCTCGGGTCGGCGGCATCTGCCGGGGACTCGGAGAAGCCGCTGGAGCTGCTGGCGGCCCCGCTGCCGCTGCCCACCGGCTTCCTCCCTCACGGCGGTGGCCCCGCGCTGCATCTCACCATCCAGAGGCTGAAGCTGCCGCCGGGCCCCCCTGAGAGCTGCGCCCTGAACCTGGCGCCGCCGCCCGCCACGGGCCTAAGCGCGGGCTCCGCGTGCTGCCACTCGGCGGCTACTACTACCCGGGGCCGGCGCCCGGGCCCCTGTACCGCGTCTCGCCCTTCTTCAGCCTGCCCTCCCTCTGCAACGGCAGCTACCTCAGCCAGGCGCCCCAGGGCAGCGGCGGCCAGCTCCCCTTCTTCCTGCCTCAGGCCCCGTACGCCAGCGGGCTGGTGCCCGACCCGGTGCTGGGCGGCCAGGCCGGCTACGGCGTGCAGCCGGTGGCGGGCTTCGGCCGGTTCTACCCCGTGTACCCGCACAGCGTGGTGGCCGGCTCGGGCGGCGCGGCGCCCAAGAAGAGCGGGAGCGCGTCATGCTACAACTGTGGCGTGAGCGGACATTATGCGCAGGAGTGCAAGCAGTCGTCCATGGAGGCCAGCCCACAAGGTAATCACGAAAGCGCCCAGAGGACTTGTTTCTGAGGGGGCCGGAGGCGTGCGGCTCCGTGGGAGCAGCAGAAGCCGCTGTGTGTGTGTCCGCAAGCTGCGCTCGCAGCGACAGCTGAGAGGTGCAGGCGGCCAGACAGCGTAGACACAGGCCCCGCAGCGCAGGGCAGGTCAGAGGAGTCCAGTTGCCAGGGAAGGAGGAAACCGGAAAGGCACTTTTTAAGGGTATAATGGGAATTCGCAGAATCTCTTTGCTAGCAGCACTATTTTTTAAAAGCAACAATCCTGTTTCATAGAGTAAGCAAAAGTTTTAAATACTGAAAAATTAGGAAGTGGTAGTCACCTGACTCGGGAGATCCTTCGTTGTTTGGGTCTATCAGTGCACAGGCAGATGACCTCAGGCGTGCTCCCTTCTTTCCCAGCCGACCTTAGTTTCCAATGCTGTCGCATTTTAAGGAACAGAACATTTAAGCACTGCGCTGTTTTGGTGGCTCAGAGGGTAAAGAATCTGCCTGCAGTGCAGGAGATCCGGGTTTGATCTCTGGGTCAGGAGGATCCTTTGGAGAAGGGAATGGCAACCCACTCCAGTGTTCTTGCCTGGAGAATCCCATGGACAGAGGAGTCTGTCAGGGTTAATTCCATAGGATGGCAGAGTCAGACGTGACTGAGCGACTAACACTTTCACTTGGGAATAAGAACATTAGAACTTTCTTTTGTTACCACCACAATAAAGAAATCAGTACAAGTAGGATACCAAATTCAGTGGAGGCCTCAAACTCTTATGTTTCAGCTCACAGGAAGCTTTTGTCACGTTGCCAGATCTCAACACAGGAAAAGAGTCTTGAATTGGGAGTGTTTGCTTGGAATTTTTAAGGGAATGTTGAGTTTGATAGCTTTAGGTTGAACTTAAAGCGCAAACTTCATATTGCTCTTTTAAAAGTCATTTAAGGACTGTTCTAGGTCACGGCAGTGCAGAAGGCGCTGCCTGAACAGAGGAGCAGGCCCGTGTGATGTCTTGTAGTGTGTGATGCCTTACTTACCTTGTGCGCAGTGACTTAGCAGTTCTCTTTCCCCTTTTAGGCACTTACAGACTGAGATACGCACCTCCCCTCCCCCCTTCTAATGATACGTTGGATTCTGCAGACTGAAACAAGTAAAGCTTGCCTACTTAATACACTGAAGTGTGGGGAGTCATGGTTGGGGTGTGGAGGGAAGGGAAAGGAAAGGTATTTTGTTTGTGTTTGTTTGTCTATACATTTCCTAGATTTCTATGCAGTTGAGATTTCTCATTTCTCTTGTACGGATGTCCAAACCAAAACAAGAATGCATTGCTTTTGAGCCTCTGGTCTCCTGGTTCAACAACAGGCTTATCTGTATGATATGTATAATTTAAACCTTCAAACAAACTATCAAAAGGAAAATCTTGATGTGTGCTTTTTTTTTTTACACTGAATACTTGCTGTGTGCAATGTTTACTGAATCTTTGAAACTGTGTATTTGACCTTTTTTCATAACACTGGTGATGGTCATATGGTTTTGGGGAAAAAAAAACAAAAAACTTTGCTTCTTCCCCAGCTTATCTCACTTTGGCCCTAATCTCCACATTTTCATCCCACCTCCGCTTGTGACAGTGGCTGCCGGAGCGGCTGGCACTGCACCATCCACACTCTAAACCGCACTGCGTAGTATCATTCGACGGTAAAATGTTTCACCTTCACCGTAAGGGAGAATCCGATTCCCCAAGCAGTGTGTATATATGTAAAAAACACCTCCACGTACACACACCAACGCAGCGCTTGTCCAAATAAAAATTGGAGTGGAAGAGAGAGGAAGAGCTAAAACCATATGAAACAGAAAACGTGACACACGAAGTGGGCAAATAGCTTTTTCTTTAAAAACAAACTTTTTTACTCATACGTTTCTAGCCTGTTGCTTCAGAGAGACATAAAGTGAACAAACTCGTGTGAGTGTGGTTCTCCTGTGTGTTTGTGTTTGTAACGAAGGCCAACAGCCAGTTTTACATGTAGTCTACCACAGTCTACCACTCTGTCGTGTAAAAGACACTTCAGTCAAGATTTCTTTTCCTTACACCAACTGTCACAGTGTTCTGTTGTGTTTTAAATGTACACAGTTTATTGCAATCTGAACAGCAGCTCTGCGTTTCTACAAAAGTCAGGTATTTGTTCCCTATCCTGTGTCTCGTAGCAAAGTCACTTTGATAACAGTTTACCACTATGCTTGATTATAATGTGAAAGATTGAATTCTGAGTGTGTTAAGATGGTGTTAATCATGTCAGTGTCCCGTCACTAAGTTTAATGCTGCTGTTTAAAATGACTGTTTGTTTGTTTTTAAAGCCGATCTATGTACTAAATTGCTTCCAGGTAATTTTTGATTTCCTAAAGTGCACTGAGGTTATCTGGAAGACGGGGTGTAGGTTTGGACTGCTGCCATCCATGGCACCGAGCAGCCCCCGGCGCTGAGCCGCAGGTGTGAGGGCTGGGGGTTGGGTGTGCTGTGCCCCAGCCTCAGCACAGAGCAGAGACGGCGGGTATGTCTGTGGGGTCACGTTGGTGTGCAGCAGAGAAACTTAAATATCTGGCCTTGGTTCAGAAACCTAACAGATTGCCAGACAAAAGGAAACACTTGAAGTAAGAAGCTTCCTGTAAAGCTTCATAGGTAGAGTTTATATTTATAGCACCAATGTACATTTTGAAACCTTCTTTCAGGGGTGGGAGTAAAAGGGGAAGAAAGGGGGGGTGAAGGGGTAGACGAAAGCTTTAATTTAAAAAGAAAGTTCAATGAAAGGAAATTATTTTGATTATATATATTTTATTTGGTATTTTTGGACCATAAATTAATTGTTAAGCTGCAGTCAAGTTGTGAAAGTGAGAGTTTTGATAAGCCCTATATGGACCGCATTGTGAATCACTTGCCAGTTGTACTTTACGGAGCTTATTTTATGATTTAAAAGACTGTACTGTATATAGGAGGTATGTTACCTTCTCCTTATTTGTATGTTTACCATATACTTTGATATTTGAAATGTTATGTACTGGAAAGGCCACTTATATTTCTAGAAAAGATTGGATTTTATGCAACCTTTTTTCCTTGAATTAACAGCAATAAAAAAAATGAAAAATGGCTTCAGAATTATGCTTTATTGCAAATATTGTAGCAGTGAAGAGAGGGGGACATCATCCCTGGTGGGTTTGGATTTGTTGTTGTTTTTCCTTTTTAAAGAGTCAACCAGTTATTTCCCTGTAGTGTGGGCAGTGAATCCCCTAGTTATCTACCATCTGGGAATCCCGGCCACCGCAAGCAGCCTGCCTGACTGTACAGATCACCTGCATGGTGCAGGCTCCCTCTGTGCCCGCCGGGCCGGGCCACGGGTTTGGGGGGATCAGGTGCCCCTGGTGGTCTGCAGGCCCCACCCCCCCATTAGCTGGTGGGCGGGCGCCTCACGCAGCGCGGCAGCTGCGGCCCCTCTGGAGGTAACATCTCTGGGGTCGTCTGCTGCCTCCCCGCGCTCCTTTGGCGCGGGGCGCCCACTCTCAGCGTCACTGTCCTTTCCTCCAGTTTGCGTCCTCCGTCCGCAGTGCGCAGTGCACTCTTCCGAGAAAGGGTGCGCTCCGCCGCGGCTTCTGTGGCTGCCTCTTCTCATCGGTGCCACGCAGACACCTGGGTGGTCCTCACTGCTCTGCCACGGCAGCGAGCATGTTCGCCCCGGGCTCCCGGTTTCCACGTGCAGGGGCACCCTCGGGAGACACGTCCAGGCACGCAGGTGCGGGGCTGCAGGCCACCCTCCCAGACTGGCCGGCGGCTTTCCAAGTGGCTGGCGCTCTGTCCGTGTCCCGGCCGCTCCTGAGGCCCCGTGGCGGTGCCCCGGGCGCCTTGGCGGGGGTGGACGTGTAGCCAGGAGGGGTTCGTGTGAGGCTTCCTGGGAGTGCCTGACTGCACGGGCAGGCACGGAAGGCCCAGCCGGGGCCGGGGATGCGCTGCCAGCACATCTGGTGACAGGCGGTGTGGTTTGGGAGTGGGGGGGCAATGACACGGGCAACTGCCGTCGTGGGAAACGTCTTGAAAGAGTTACGGAATTTTTGGTTCAGTTAGTAAAACAGAGCCAGACTGCAGAATTGAAGGAAAAATTGGAAGTTGCCAGGTTTTAAATACAGACAAAAAGGAAAAAAAAAAATTGAGAGTTTTTTAAACTGTCGAATGGTTGAGAGAAAGCCTGGAAGTTGAGCCACTGGTTCCGGTGAGGGCAAGACAAGAGGGGGATGGCAGGGACGGACGGAAGGAACCCTGGGCTGCCGAGCCGAGTCTTCCCACACAGATGATGAGCTTGTTTAAGTTAGGGCTGCGAGGATTAAATAATACATGGGCAGGGCCCAGCTTCATGAAATAGCACCGAGGAGGCACTCAGATGTTAGCAGAATTCTGTTCTGATGAACAGAATTGCCTGCCTGAAGGCAGTGGTTGGTTGCGGCGGTGAGCTTAGGAAACGTAGTTCTTCCTTACGTTAAGCTTAGTTGTTTGAGCTCTCTCCATTAATAAAATAGTCTTTGTCCTCGAAAATTATTTGGGATTTCCCAGGTGGTCTAATGGCTGACTCTGTGCTCCCAAGGGAGGGGGCCTAGGTTCGATCCCTGGTCAGATCCCACATGGTATAACTAAGACCCAATGCAACCAAATAAATAAAATATATATTAAAAACTATTTGGAGGCAACTCTGGGCTATAATATCCATGGGCTAAGTCTTGCAGAACCGAAATAGAAGAAGGTCTTACAAGGCAAATCCACATTGTACTTTTTTTTTAGTGCTAAATACCTAAATTTCCTGAAGGTTCCCGAAAGATTAAAGTACAGTGCAAAGTAATCTCTCTCTCTCTTTTTAAACAGGTAGCATCTAGTACTCAGGAGCACCACCCATTAGAGCCTGGAAGACACCTTTTTTCAATTCTATGTACTGATTACAAAAGCATTCTAAGGTTAAGGCAGTGAAAGCAAGTGGAGGCAAGCCGTGGCAGTAGTTAACCCCATAACCCTTCCATCTCATCTCGAAGGAATGAAAAAGAATGATACCCCACCTACTGCACCCACAAAAAGGATGCACTTATTTCTAGAGAAATGAATTGAGGTCTGTGGGGTGAAGGAAGAGGGGGTGCTCTGACTTCAAACACGGTTGCTGCATTTCTAGTCGTTTCCGTGGAGCTGGAGGAAAATCTGCAGCGGGTCCTGTTGGCGAATGAAGGGCCCTGGCTGGAGTCCAGGCCGAGTCCGGAGTCACCGCAGGTGATGGTGCTTCCCTGCAGTGCCCGCGCTCTCCTGCAGAGGGCAGCACTGTCCTCTCGCGGAGCGTGCACGGTGTTAACACCTGAGGTCCATCTAGTATCAGTGTTTCAGGTTATCGCCACTCAAGGATCACGTTGTGCCCATTATGTGCAAAAGTAACTGTGCCGTATCTCCGGAGAAACTGACCTAGATGTTAAATGCTGTCCTCTTTTGGAAACTTGGCCCCTTTGGAGCATGGGCACCCATGGCGTGGCTTCTGTGTGTAGCCAACTGTCTGTCCACCTTGGAAGCAGGGTGGCTTTAGGCTTCCCCTTTCCTGCGCTGGAAAGCGGGGCCCATCACAGGGGGGACGAGAAAAAGCCTGCCGTCACAGCTCCGCTGCACTGACGGCTGGCCTCGGCCTCCAGAGCTGCTAATCCCGAGGTCCTGGTTTGCTCCTTGAGACCTGGGAGCGGGGGTGAGGCGTGCGGGTGTTGAGGGGGGTCCTTCATTGTGCTCCTTTGTCCTCTTGCAGCTCCAACGCGATCCGCGGGAAACGGTCTCGCCCGCCTCGCCACCGAGAGATTGCTCGTTGGGCAGCAGCGCCACCTGGTGGGGAGAGGACCCCGCCCGCGAGCGGCCGTCTTGCCCCCGGGGCCTGACGGAGGCGGGAGGCGTTTGGGGTCGTGACCTGAGCTCCGGGCCTTAAAGCTTGTGGCGGCCTCCGCTCAGCCTCCGCAGTCTCAGTGGGGCACAGACATCTTAGCACCGGCGGTGCTTCTCAGTCTCCCGTGCACTTTCCTCCGCGCCCCTTGCCCGACGACTGCAGAGGGGGTGTGTCTCCCCCCGCCCCGTTTCCCAGGGGAGCTCAGGGTGGGGCTTCAGGGCCGCAGACCCGCCGCCGGCAGTGACAGCCAGCCCCCAGGATCAGAGGAGGCTCCCCCTGCCCGCCCACGGTTCACAGCGCCTCCCCGCCGAGCCCAAGGCCACGGCCTTTGAAGCCGCATAAAACGGTGGGTGCCCGTGGTCTTTGGAGCCGGGGGGCCTCCGGACTCCTGCGGGAGCAGAGGGCCGGCCCTGGTCGGCCAGAATGTCTCTTCGCTGAGTCTCTGCTGAAGGATTTGAAGACGCGGAGTGAGGGGAGGCGTGCAGAGCTGGACGCCTCAGGACTTCTTGTGGAGGCTTCAGGTGTTCTGTCTGATGAATTCAAGGAGTGACATTTCTCGCCCACACCCAAGGTTTTAAACAGGCGCCACTATCCTCTGCTGAAACACCAAGTTTTGCCCTGCAGAGGTTTCTATGATCCCCAGATGTCTTGGTAAGTCGAGCATTTAGCGACTCTTCATTTTAAGACTTTGGAACCTCAGAAACGCAGTGGCAGCGCAGACACAAGACACCTGACTGCTGACGCTGGCAAAGCTCTGAGTCACATGTGGGCTGTCCGCGAGCACTCCCCTCGGCCCCCGCCGCTCAGCCCCCAGGGCCGAAAACGGCAGCAGCACTGGCAGCTTCCAGCAGACACGCAGCGGCCACACCCACCGCGGAAGCCCCTGTGGATGCTAGGGCGGTCGCCAGCTCGCCAGGGGCCTGGGGCTCCTCCGTGCTCGGGTATCAAGGGCTGGACTCAGGACGTGGTCACTCCTGCGTGCCTCGGACGCCTTCATCAGATGAGCTTGTGCAAGAGACGAAGCCTTGTTCAGCACCCACCCCCGATTCACACCACGCTTCTCAGGCGCATCTACAGAGTGGGGATAACAGTCACTCTGTTAGAATAGTTACAAGACTTCGGTGAAATGCATGAAGGACTCAATATCAGATACACAGCAGGTGCTCCGTAGGTTCGTGAAGGTGGCAAACGCCCATCGGGGCAGACCCGTCGCAGCCTCACGACGGCCCTTGGAGGTGGGCGCGCTGCCTCGGCTTACGGCTGGGGAAACTGAGGCACGAAGGCCCCCCACGCGTCCGAGGGCACAGAGCAGGTCAGCGGCCAGGCTGGGACTGGCCCCTGAGCCCGCCCAGTTCTCTGTGCCGGGGTCCCGGGACGCCGCTGGCGGGGCATGGACGTCCAGGGCGCCCTGCGCAGGGGCTGGGCCGGCTCTGCTGTGAGCCCCGCCGTCTGGGATACCTGGCCCTCCTGGACCTTCATCTCTCTCACCCGAAAGCTGAGTGCTTGCTTGGAAGAAGGTGGTAGACACTGAACTGAATGACTGCAGAATTCTGACTGGAAGCTTGCCTTTTCTCTTTAAGTAACTGATCAGGTTTCTGTAGTTCTCTTTGATTTAACCGACAGCAGCCCTTTGGGGGCGGGCCAGGTGCAGGACGCCCAGCTGCACCCGGTGTTGCCGGAGGGCACGCGGCGCGGGGAGAGGAGGAGAGGGGGCCGCGTGTGGGGCCGGCCAGGCACCCGGGGCAGCGCTGAGCAGGCAGTGCCTCCTGTCGTCAGGGTTCTAGGCTCTTCTGTCCTTGTACTGATAAGGTTCTCACCTGGGGGGCCTTCCAGTCAAAGGCGCGAAGCTCACGACCCGAGTCCTGCGCTGAAGGACACGGAGTCAGCCGTGGTCAGTAGCACGACCCACAGCCAACGAGGCTCTTACATCTTGCAGTGGTTGAGAAGAATACTTTTATCACGACACACAAAAGTCATCCAGAATTCGCGTTTCAGTGTTCACAAATCAAGTTTCTCGGAGTCCAGCCACTCTCCTTTGTCTCATGAAGGCTGCTTTCGCCAGAAAGCTGAGTAGTTATGACAGAGACTGCACGACTCTCCGAGACAGAGATGCTATCTGTGTTTTTATGAAAAAAGCTTGCTGAGCCCAGATGCCTATCAGCCTTCTCTGAGTAGAGACGCACTCTCCGGTGCCTTTGAGGGCCT